GGGACTGTGTATGTACGAAAGGAAACCTGGAACAGATCACGCACCTTGGATTCATTACTTTATAGTCGCTGCACACCACTACGTCCATTACAGATGGTCGCTGTCTCTAGTTAAACAGTTGGTATTTTAAAATAGGGAACGTGCTGGCCTTCAGAGGTTGTCCTAAGAGAGGTCCCCCCTTCGCCTTGGAGGCAAGGGTTCCCCAGCCTGAAGCTCACTTTTTGAGGGACTTGTAGCGGTGTTTAGGTAAACAGCTTTGTGGCTGCTTATTTTATTACTGTCTGATAATAGACCACTATTGTTTATTGCAGGTGGCTGCCCAGCAGGTGGGAAGTTAAGGAACTGTATGCATGTGTGTTAGGGCAACGGTTTCCCCTTGTTAGGCGAGGTATCCTGTGTGAGAGTGTGTGTGTGTGTGTTGCGTGGCAGTTAATACAGCACTTATTGCTTCCAGGAACCTCAACAGCAAAATGTTTCCTGCTCTTTGACATTGATGGAAACCAAATTTATTATTTCCATTTTGGTGTTTTCACATTTCTTAGAGAAGAAGGGCTAAGCCTGTATTATTTCAGCGCAATCTATTCTCTTGCTTTCAGCACAGAGAAAAAAATTTCAGCACTAAAAAGAAATATTTTCTCTTTAAATATACATTTAATATTAAATATTCATTTAATAAATATTCAATGCGTATTTATTTGCATAAATAAAACATAGACAATGGATTAAGACAAGATAAGCGTTTTGCTCTTGTGAAAAAGAAACTTTTCAAACCATTTTTTCTCCCTGTTTTGGCTTGGTATTGCTTTATTTAACCAGTAGAATCTTTTCTCTTAAAAAGATTTTTTTTTTAATAAGAAGAAGCCACATTTCACTGAAAATGAGTGACAAAACTGGCATTCCTGCCTATGACTGCCAATATATACGTTTTGTTTATGCGATCTTTTCCAAAATAGCCCGGCTCCCCTTTTTCTGTCACTGTGCATATATTCTTCTGCAAAGTGCTTCAGAATGCTGCAACATTAAAGGGGTTTTAGGAGTCCTACCAGTGCCAAAAGGCAAACAAGAATGCAAAAAATGTCCTTAGCATATAATTTAATTAAGGAGTACCCCAAATTCATGTACATGAAGCAGGGCTAAAATCTGTCACGTTAGACAAGGAGAAGACATCAAAATGTATATCAGTGGAGCTTATAAACTCCTGAAAGTAGGTAGCCTCTCCTTTTTAATTTGGAAGGAACTTAATACGTTTTCCTCACTACCAAAAGCAAAGGGCAGACAATAGTATGAACAGAGAGAGAAGCAGGTAATATGTCAGCTCTTGCAGCATGTACATCACCTAGTGGACATGCTTTGCATACTAAAGGGTGGGGATCTATCCTGCTACTGCACATTTTCTGCTCCCGTTATCAAGCGCTAGTCCTGGCGCATGTTTCCCCCATACGTGAAGCTGCAAAGCGCATCCAGCGACTCTGCAGTCACCTGCCCCAGCCCTCTCGCCGAGCCCCCGAGCAAGGGCAGCATTTCTGCAACACGGGACTTTTTATGTCTTTGCTGCTTTTCTGTGCAGGGGTGAAGGCAGGATTGAGCCTGTGCTCCAGCTAAACTGGGAAGGATTTTCTGAAGAAAGTATATGCAATATTAGCATGAATCCCGCAGCAGCCTCCATCCCGTTGCCGTCCTCTGGCCTGCGCGACCTACAAAAGGTGCGCGAACAGACTGAAATGAAGTGTGGCCCACGCTAACATGTAAAATACCCTTGTAAAATAGAGGGGAAATGGGAAAAACATGGTTAAGGGAAAGGTTCGTAAGTTAAAGCTGTCAGGGATCCAGCTTAGCATTCTGACTATTTAGGTTTATACGAACATGTACTGTGCCACTCCATCCAGAGGAGTGCTTGTCAAATGAGTGCTGTAGCAACTACACGCAGCCCTGACCCACATGCCAAGGCCCAATCCAGCTCCAACGGAAGGGAATAGCGAGATTCTCACGTGCTTCCCGGGGGGTGAAACCCAGCCTTTCGGAAGTGGAAGACACTTTAATAGAGAGACATGGCTGAAAAAACAAGTATGGACTTAAAGTCTGCACAGTTTGAGTGGAAAAGTGTTTGAGGAGTTTGAGCTCTGGATGGGAACATGTGACAATGTGTAACACTCCGAGCTGCAAGGCAGTGACAATTAGGAGGGACATACTTGTCTCTATTTTTAAACAGCAATGAGGTGAGTTGATATATAAGTTCTCTTCCAAGAATTTCAGTGCAGATGACTGCCCATAATATAATTATTCACAGTAAAGAGTAAGCCATGTTTCAGCTCTGAACATTTGATCGGTCTCTGTACAGTCAAAATATAGTCAGATTTGGACAGCCTAGCAGGATATTTCTGACTTCCATGTGCAACTATACTTTTACCAGCCTTTCTCTCACACAATGTCACACAGCGATACACAGTGTAAATCCTTCATATGTCAAATCAGACATGGCATCTACAGTCTGCAGAAAAAATCTGCAGGGTGTAAAGTTACCAAGTATTTGTGAGGTCTACTGTGAGGCTGCATTTTTTTTTCTTCCTGAAACGTGAATTCTTCTTTCAAAGAACATGTTTATTTTTCCTTTTTCACTAAAACATATCTACTTTCTCCAGAAAATAAATAGAGAAAAGAAAAAGGTATGGATAAGGGAAGTTTGCAATAAGCCAGCCTTCAACCATCAGCTTTGCAATATAATGATAATACTTGATGGTTACAACCTTTTATTATGTAGGAATTGTATCAATTTATTCTCCTAGCGCATCTGAGAAAAGCGTAGTTGCCATGAAGTAGTCAGTATTTACTGCTCTCTACTACGCTTTGATATCTGGGTAGGCTTTGTCCTTACTGGGAGCAGTGGGCAACGCTGTGTGATACGAGCCAGGGCTGGGGGTTTAATAGGCGATTTCTGTATTTTCCTCATTATGGAAAGAGAAGACAGAAGTCTGTAAACTTTAATCAATTCGTAGGTGGATATTAAATTGCTAATAGCTCAGGCTAGAGTCTCCAGAGTTTCTAAATCTAAGATGATGTTCCTTCCCTATTTTGGAAGATAATATCTAGAAAGTCGATTGATCTTCTAGAGTGAAGGTACGTGCCAAAGTGGAAGCACTGCGGGGTTTTTTTAAAGGTGTAAACTGAGAATTGGGACTCGGTGTTCAGTCCCTGACACTTCAGCAAAACATGCTCTGGGACCATTGGCAAATCTCTTATTTATTTTTCAGCTTACACATACAACAATTGGGATGAAAGTATCACGCCACAAAGATTTTCAGGCTCAACTAAAGTTTCTAGATCTGCCATAGACAAAGGAAGCCTTGTAAAATTTGCTAGTTTTAGATTATTTGAAAATATTTGAAAATACTTTGTTAAAGGTTCTCCCATAATTTTGGCCTTGAAATAGACCTCTGTAAAACAGATAGCTTTTAAATGAGAAATCAATGCCAGACTTGTGGCTTCTCACCATTTTCGTAAATCGAAATCACAGTAGATCAAAACATGTCCTGATTTATGCTCTGTTGAGCTGAATTTACTTCAAGGTAAATTTGACTCCGTATTACTGGATGCCAACCAGTTCATTAAAGCTCCATGTCCCTAAATATCTGCAGAAAAGGTAGATTTGTCCAGATCATAAAACATATTTTAAACATATTTTCAAAATCAACCAGATTTTCAAAGCCAGCCACAGAGGCTGGTACATATTCCTACATATTCCTATAAATACGCTTATAAATATATATATAACCCCCCCCCCCCCCATTCTGGACATGTGTACGTGCTTACGATAAACACCCGGAAAGCTATATTGCATTCAGTGGGTCTATTTATGTGCTTAAAATTAGGCATTTGTAAAGTCGCAAGATCAGGCCTATAGTGTATGTACGTGTGTGTGCATGTGTGCACATGTATGTACAGGAATAAAGAACGCAGCTTGATTAGAAGTTCTATTCTATGCTCACTCTTTTACTTAACCTCTGACATTTGAAAAAATGAAGCTAAATGTCCAGGCAGTTCTGACAGTTCCAATCTATTCTCTGCAACCTGAAAAAACGCACACTTTTTTACTCCCTATACGAAGTTGATGTGTGGTTTGGTTGTTTGTGGTGGGTTTTTTTTTTTTTTTTTTTTTGGGGGCGCCTTCTTTATATAGTGTCAACACGACAGCAGAAGTACTGGTTTGCTGTAGGTTGTATGAGTGACAATAATATTCTCTGCGAAACGTAGAAGGGACTAACTGATGAATCGGAAAATATATGGATGTCTACCGAAACGATTATGTAACGAAACACGAAGTCAAACGGTGGCATGCTTCTATTAATTGTAGATGATAGTAATTAATTTTCACTGCAGTTGCGATCGTGTCGCTGCTTTCAGAAGAATCCAGAATCCCCTTCCAGGAAAGTGTGAAATTGCATCTGGGTTCTGCAAGCCATGAAAGACTATAAATGTCTTTAAAAAAAGAGAGGGAGGCCTTCCTCGATACTGTACTTTAGAAAGAGGGGAAAACAAAGGGAAAAAGAAAATGATAATTGTTTTCTCTAAGGCTATTATCTAATGCAAAAGCAAACAGTCTGACTGGAAATCAGCTAACAGAAGGGGATTAGAGAGTAGATCTGAGAGTGGCTTTATTTTTAGCACTCCTGTCTCTTCACACAGTGATGAGACACAGGCAGAGCAGCCAGGAGCTCTCCAGATGGCTAGAGAAAGTGTTTGTCTTGGGTTACTGCAGGGCAGTCTGGACTCTTAAAGCCGGGGAGGCATCATTAGGGAGCAAGTTAG